ATGGTATGACCTCAGGCCTAGAAATGAAGACATGCAGGAAGTTAATCTGTGCAAATGGACTTGTTTGCGTGGCTTGTTCACTCTGTGAAGTTATGTTTCAAATTTGATGAAATTCAGCCTATTCTATTGATGCCTTGGACTGGAACGGTTACGTGCCAAGTATTGCTAATAGCATTTGGAGACTGACGATAAAGCAGTCCATCTTCTCACATTCAGAAGTCATGTTTGCTTAAAATGTGGCAGTATTGAGGACATTGGAGGATTTCATCAGCTTCGACACAATATCGCCTTCAGCTACATCTGGCTGACAACTTCGACGGGTAGATCAATTCATTAACCGGAATATTGGCGCTCTGTTCCCGGTTGCCCAACGCCTGCGCACGGTCAAGGCATTGTCAGTTTGGGAAAAGTAAACAGTAATTCCAGCTGAGGCCGTTTACTCTTTCAGTTTACATTGTTCATGTGCACTATTCTCCAAGCCAATTTTTGGAATAGGTTGAAGTATTATTCCCGAATTTTGATTGATGATGCTGACCGTATTGCTCTTTGGGAAAACATGTATGAATATTTAAATTAATCACCTCAACAGGCAGGGAAAAACAAAGTCTGTATAAAGACGCGTGCTTAGATTCTAAATTGCATGTCATTAATTGCATCATTAATTTTATGTGTTTACAAAAATTCAACAACTTATAAGTAAGGATGTGTATTAAAATGTGAAAAAAGTGAATTTTGTAGTTAGAAATGATTGCAGAAAGACAGTCACCGTATAAGCAAAATGGCGTTAATGGCGCTGTAACTGTGACAACTCAATAAATTCCTTGTGCCATATGTCAAAAAAGCTACAGGGTCGACACTTTGATCGTACCACGAAATCCAGATTGTCCCGGCTGGAAAACATGATAGGCGTCGCTATATGTGAACACTCACCATGTTCCGTGAATTTCAGTAGCAAGCATTTTCGACAGCATCAGTCGTGCCTGATTGAACGGGGAGCGAATTAACAAAGTCTGTGGACGACACCCGTGGCGTTAATGTCCTAGTATATTTGAAATTTCTCGCCAGGAACTTGTAAGAGGTCTCCCAGCATGACCTTTATTGAGCGGCTTTAGCGTTGCAGGTGTGCAGGCCATTGTCAAGTTCCTTGTCACGCTTGTTGAACATTTTCAAAACCATCTCGAGTCGGCGAATTAATAGTAAGCCGAATGCACTTTGGTGCCATTTGAGGCTGTACATTATTTTGTCACATTTCGCACGTACGTGGTGAATGCTGCCAAGGCAATTTTCGACGACGCTATCGCATGCTGCCTCACGTTTTGAAAACAGCACGGTCAATATATCTCGGACTTTAATTGCAAAATGCTGGCTCAAAGAGGTAAGTGTTTTGCTGAGGTGCAGTATTATGGAAAGTCTCCCTTACACCTCGTATGTGTATTTTGTAGTGCTCGTGGGAATCAACGAGGTGTTCAACATCACCTTCACGGCTCTCTAGCAATCGCTCTTGCAGTGGGTGCTGATTTATGCTTGAACGGTAGAGACAGTAAAAACTGTGGGAACGAAACTGAAAGTCTGCTACCTCTACCATAAAAATTGTTGTGCAATGTTTCAACTGACGGTAATGTGAAATAACCCAAAGATGTTAATTTCCAGTAATGTCAGTCGAGTTCGATAGTGTTTTCGTAGCGAAGGATGGTGAGACAAATGAACTTTTCAAATCCACGAGCTAGTCAGTCGAGTCGAACTACACTGATGGTCCAAACTGTTTACTTAAGCATTATTGCCGTAATCGGTAGTACACTGTTTACCAAATATGTCCGTAATGAAACTAAACCATTTTAAGTCATAAATTCAGGATGCGCGAACAAGGAACAGTATGATGTCAGTTGTAATGAGAAAGCGATAATAATGATTACTAATCCCATAATGAGGGCGACTTGAAGGTTTTCAGATAAAGGGTAAGAACATTTTGGACCTATTCAAGCATAGCCATCACTCGGCTGACTGGTGTGTTTGCCCTTCATCTTTGGAGAAAAAGGAAACAGTACTGGTTGTTGATTAAACTGAGCCTTTCATAACAAATAATTCCAGTTTTTAAATTTATGATGCGTCTGTCTATCTAAATGAATTTCGTTTATTTTGCGGGAAAATGAATTTACGTATTTTACGATTCGACAGGTGTTCGCGTCAGTGATGTTTTGTTTCAATGCAGTACACCTGCCGCTGGGAGATAAGTTTGAGATAGTGAGTCGATATCTGTCATGAAAATTAGGTTCTCTGGTCTATGCAAGCCTGTTATGGTTTAATCATCTGCTTATTTTTATCTTGTTTAATTTAAAAGTTGACTGCTTAAATGAAAGAAAAATGGTCTACAAAAGAGTTATCTGACATCACATAGAAGTAAAAAAATACATTATTCGAAAATCACGAATCAATTTTCGCAAACACAAGCAAAGCTGGTCCTTTAAATATAAAAATTTTCAACTCAAATACACGTTTATATTCCTATTCAAATGTACACTTTGGGTCTTGCCACTTTCTTCTGTATGTTTGAATTCAGTCAGATAACCACTTATACTGGAGATCATAAAAAACGAACAATGAAATGGACGAGCGGGATTAGAACCTGCGACCTCCGGAAAACCATACCAGTGCTCTACCAACTGAGCTGTCCAGCCCTTGGTGGTTCTTCCTATTTGTCACTATATTTGTTCGGGGAAATTCCTTAATTTTAAAGTTGGCAAGTGTTATCATTTTAATAACCTGTCATCATATCTTTCGTGCTGGTATAGCCACTGATTTTTCGCTAGGCAAATGCACTCGGAGAATGCAATCGGTGATCTCAACATTTAAGATTTGGCTAAGATGTTGCAATGATTCTGAATTAAAGTGTGACAATATTTTTCAAAGGATTAATAACTTGTGTTACCAGAGGCGTGTCCAGCGAGGAGAGGGGATAAGCTATCCTACATTGCCAATTTGGTTAGAAACTGAATGTGCCAGCATATTAGAAACGATTCTAGTATATCTTTTTTGAAGGTGGATTGAGAATTCTTTTGCAGATAAAAGAAAATTCGTTTTTGGCAAAAAATCCATTTTGGCCCCAAGACACAGAAAAACGCTTTGTTGCGATACAGGTAAGAACAATATCCCACATATACATCACCCAGAGCGCAGTAGCAGAAAAAGACTACTTCTAGAGCGGTTACCATGAGGTATGTGGTAAACACTGCCTGTCGTTAATTGAACGGTGTGAAATATTCCCGAATTGAGTCGGGTACTCGACGAAGCGCACTTTTCGGAGGGATGGATTGCTCCCTCGTCAATGTCAGGCCACATGCTCTCAGCAATGTGAGTTACTCTCCCTTCGCTTATTAAACCACTCTACCATGTTTACATACATTTGGGTTAAATCGGCCTCAAAAATAAACCACGCCGTAGATTTGCGCCGCTTTATCAAATTGTATAAATCAGTGACGCATGAAGACTAAAAGAAACGAACCCACTCAATTTGAAAATGAAGATTGCACTCGGGAAACAAAGCAGCCGACGGCCGGCGGGCTATACCTGGACGGTGCGGTCTTGAAATGTGTTTTCGCGGATTGGATTTCAGACGTTGATCGATCCACACCTATAAGTAAATTTGATTTTTGAGATCAATATTTTACCATAAAATATGAATAAGTTAACAAACAACGTGCACGCGATCAGTAACAATATCCATACAGTAATTCCTAGCTAAGCACTTCTCTTGAGGCATAAACGGGGTCAAATTACCCCTTAGAGGCTTATCTGAGAAAACATCAAAGGGAGCACCGGTCGAAAGTGGATGTCAAACGTCAGATAATTTACTTAATTTTTATAAAATGAGAAGCAGTCGCTGGATTTTATGGATGTGGGCTTACACTGTCGTTATATTGTCGTTGGGTGAAGAGTGGAAACATTGAACTACGTGTTAGGACGATGATTAAGACTGAGCTGTTTTAAGGGTCCAATGCAATGAATCTTTCTCAGGCGTATTTTTGTGCAATTTTTCTTCAGTGTACGAAAACTTTCCCCTTTGGGGTTGTGTGCATTTGTTTAACGGACTTATAAACTTTCAAACTTATCCCGTGATTATCCAGGGAAAACGAGGGCGCTGTTGCTGCGATGCAATGCAGGGAAGACAATACTCTGTTTAAAATGAAAGATTTTCTCTTTAAATTGTGAATTTGTACATGAAAAATATAACTGCGAAAGGGTTGTATTTTCGTGTAATTACACAACAGATCACCCCCTCCAAAAACTGGAAATGTTGGACAGCAAAACACCAGAAATTGAAAGTTTTTGCTTTCTTCTTATTTCAATTTGTTAGCAAAGCAACATTGAGAAGTTTTCTCCGTGGGATGACATTACATTTTCGCACTAGTATAAAACCTAGACAGGCGTCAGAATCTCATGAAAAGATCTCTGCTGGAAAATGTTCTCTTGGGTAATGGCCTGCTTACGGTAGTGTGGGCCAAAGAGAATGACCCGTGCAAGAGGTTGGCCTGGACCGGAATGCTTGATCTTGCGACATGGTCAACGTCTCATGTCAAGGAATTAATCCAACCTGCTTTGTTTCCCTCGAGGGTCGAATCGACTTTTTTTGATACCGTGACGCAAGTCAAGTCGTCCAGTCATCGATGAACGGTTCTGATGTTTATAACACTTTACTCTTTTAGATCAAATTTGTTTATTGTGGTCACCGAGTTCCCAGCTGACCACCATCCGCGAAGCGGAAAAGGGTTTTAGGCCAGAAATTATGGGACTGATGAAGAAAAAGTGAATAACTTTATCTGGTGAGTTCTTGGCCACTGTGAAGTACGCTTCAATAAACATTTCGTCTGTACCTTTGATGAGGGTAAACTGAACAAGTTACGCAGATCTGTGCCGTTAAACGCCACAATAAAGGAAACAGCCAACAACTATGACAACAGCAACAATCAAAAATGTGTAATGTACCTATTTTTTTTCATTCACAGAGTCCTTCCTTTGAGTCCACCAACTGGCTCGAATCGAGTAAGCAGTACAACAGCACGCAGGTAATTATAGAAGCCGTTCACCAATATGTGGTGTTCACTCATCATTACTGTTTTCTCCCTCGACGAAGACTGTCTTAAAAACTCCTTTTGGTTCAAGTTCCCGTCAACCAGACTGCTATTTATAACAGTTGGGTGTCGCTGCCTCGCTGGTATCATAATCTTGAAAATTAGGAATATTGAGAGAGGGCCGAGACGGTCGGCCGTGAGGCGTATAGGGAAGTATTCAATCCTTTGTAATTAATACCCCCAAACCGCTACAGTGTATAAGACCAGCCAATCTATTACAAGCGTCGATTCGACATCAGAGAAAAGAGTCAGACTCTTAAGAGAATAATGGTAATGTCTTGAGTAAACATCCAAAGTTTATGCTGAAGTGGTCAACCCAAAAAAACGTTAAGATTGATTTTGTTCTCTCCTCAGTACGCACACCATACAATCTAGGGCATGGATCCTACAATGAACATGACGTCATTAGGCATTCACCCGACAGACGGGCTGCAAGATGCAAATTTGAGATACCAGACTGAACTACCAGTTAATGACACGGGACAAGAAAATTATTACGACCACGACGCATGGTTTCGATATTACCTGGAAAAGTATCTGACTATTTCCTGCTACGCCATAGCGATGGCAATTGGTACCATAGGCAACGTCATAGTTGTCTACACCATTTGGAGGTGTCGTCATCTTCACACGGTCATGTATACTTTGCTAGGAAGCCTCTGTGTGGCTGATCTTATTATGTTGGTTCTAGTACTGCCATGGAAACTCAACGTTTTGTTCGTACACGGACATTTTCCCTATGGGGATTTCATGTGCCGTGCCCCAGTCTATTTGCACCTGCTGTCCGCTGTCAGCTCAGTTTTCCACCTTACAGCCATCAGCTTGGAGCGGTAGGTATTTTGGTAATCGCGTATCCTTAATTACATTACAATACGAATATCAAGAGTTTGAAATTAAAACACGTTATGTAAAAAATAGGCATTTTGAGGAATGCGAGTCATAAACGTTGACTATTCAAATCAGAAATGACCCCCTCCCCCAGAAATCCGTTTCAAAATGTCTGCTATCAAAATGTTGGTGTACCAGACACTGACAAGTGTGCCACAGTACGACGGTAGACTTAACGCATTCAGAACTCAAGGCAGATGTGCTTACTCCCGTTGTGAATCCTGAATTATATTATACAAGTGTAATAATGAGTAGTTCACAATATGTGCAAATATGCATCAACATTTCGGATTTCTCAGAGGAAATAGGGTATGGCAACCTCCCTCACCTTGTAAATTGGGTCTTAGGGCGCTCTCAAGAGATCTGTCACAATGTCTATGCAACCAAGTCAGAGGAACCATTCAAATCAAAGGCTTCTTGTTCATTAGAAAGGAGAAATATGAAGGAGTCACACTAAGACTTAAGTATGAACCATACTTTGGTCAGATTAAGCGACAAAATGAAGCAGACATCAGGATCAGCCGTGTTCAAATTGGAGCTACCTAGGCATAAATATGACCAGCTTCATATTTTGAGGACATTACTAATAAATGCAGCGTAAATTACATTACTTATAGATGCTATGCCGTTAAGTTCCCTTTGAAGTCTCGTACCGTGCTGACAATAGGAAACGCCTACAAGATTGTGGTCTTTGTATGGACGACCTCAATACTGTCTAGTATTCCCGCTATCTTTTCCGTGGTAAGTACGTGTCCATATCATTACACCGGTCTCCAGTGCTTACTAATGCAACAACAGTATAGTATCTTCGTTCAATAAAAAACTGTTAACAACTGGTCATATTTATAATGCCGTTGCATGATCAGTTATTTTCTCGCTTTCTTTTGCCATCCAACTCGAATGGAATTTAGTCTTGGATTCAGACAAATCCATTCGTTACATTCAATTTCTACCATTTTTTTCAGGGCACCAAGAATTTTGTTGACGCAATTGGGCCTTATGTGGTCTGTGACAGGTTATGGACTGATGTACCACTCCAGGTTTACGCGCTCTACCAGTTTTTCCTGGTACTCGCCTGTCCAATGATTCTGATAACAGGGGCCTATGCCTTCATTATGCATACGCTATGCACCCGCCAGGTACCAAGCGAGAGCACCAAATCTAGTGCAATGGCCATGAGCCATTCACGCAAGTACCAGGCTGGCACTACGCACAACGGACACACCAAGACTGGCTCGGTGCATGTGGTGAATGGAACGCAGAAACTGAATCATAAATCAGCTAAGAGTAAGGAGGCAGAAATCAGACAGGTTGGTGACGCCCAACGCATTGAGTTTTCTCTCCCCCCCCCGTTGTTGACACAGGCTTGTGCAATAAACGAACGATCTCGGATTACTTGAGGTTCCCAACAGAGCAAACAGGTCACTTAGCGTTTAAATTTGCAAAATAAAGTCCAAATTTCGAAAGCGATGGACATCCACTGCACACGCGTTTCCTTGCCTTTATTTCGCAGAACTTACTTAAGCCAATACGTACAACGATTTGGCAGAATCACTGAAGTCAATTTTACTTCCCATCTTTCGACGAATGAGTTCGTCACGTTGCCATGTTTTTGCATTTCGGTTGATTGTTATGTAAGATGCTCTCTGAGTAAGTTAATGGGCCAGGCCGGGGTGAGCGCAAGAGTAGGCCTATGAAATTGTCAACTTGAATGTCAAGTCGGGTAAACACGAGGGAGTAAATGGAACACACTGTGTGGAATACAAATAAAGCCTTTGGAAACTCCACCAACAAGTTGATATTGACGTAGATTTCTCCCTACGAAATAGCTAATTGTTGCACATGTCTAAAGATCGCTGTTTCCTCAGTACGTTTGCAGTTTGGAAATTCTGACTGAAAGCTGAAACCCGAAAACGGTAAAAGACACTGGCAAATCAAACCATCGAAAAATGGTTTAACCGTAAATTGTCTTTATGTTCAACAGATGACCATAATGCTTGTAGTGGTGATCGTCGTCTTTGCAGTCTGCTGGGGTCCCACTGTGACATTTGCTGTCCTCAAAAGATTTGATGTAATTGATACCACACTCAGCGACCCTTTGAGGCTGACAGACAAGATCTTCAATTTAATGAGTTTCTTGAACAGCGCCATGAATCCACTCATCTACGCCTTGGTATCGGCCAGTTTTCGCCATAGTTGTCGTTGGGCCTTAAAGGTATATGCATGGTTATAATATAACCTACAATCTAGAGACCTGACTCTTCAGGGCTTCTAAAATCACATTGTTAGCTAGGTCTAAGTGCCTTGATTTGTGTTAAGTTAAATTTTTCTCGTTGCTGTTTTTTCTGTGTTGGTAGGTTTGCTTTAAGTCTCCTTCTGTGCGGCGGAGGCCAAGCAACATGTCACGAGCAACGACTGTCAGCCGTTTTGGTATGAGCCAAGGAGGTGGCTCAACTGTCGTTGATAGTGTCAGTGGGTCATCCGTGTGCGCTACAGAAAGAGTTTAAACTATTGTAAAGATGGAAGGGAAAAAGGCAATTTAGCAGATTCCGACACGATCTACTGATAGGTCTTGGAATATTATCATTTCAGTTAATATAGAATTGGGAGTTGTACAAACTGATACATGTAGTGCGTATGAAAGTCAAATATATCGCCAACAACCATGAACTCTGCAGACCTATATTGAGTTTGAAACTTAATGACACAAAGAAGTGAGAGACAAAAGGAAAATGTCTGGAGGTTTTTGTTTGAAACATGAATGAAAGAGTGAGACGACTTGCAAAAACAACTAAGTTAATGTTAGGACCTTTTTAGAGTGTCTGCTTTGAATAACCGGAAACAAAGTACTACAGTAAGAGCCATGGGCTTTTGTGAAGCATTGCACGACTGACTTAGAATGTGTAAAAGAAAAACCCTATCGTAGATCAGATTTCCATCAATCAGGTTTAACAGTAATGAGAGCGCACCGATGAATGTGTGATCTATCAAATTTTGTTTATGCCTGAAATAATAATGAGGAATATTATATGTGAATCGTAGTACTCGGCATGCATGCCGAAATAACTCTTTCTTGTGTCTGATTTCTGCAAAATTTCAGCTTCGTAGAGTTAACGTCGTTGAGTTAGAATAACTGTTCTTCAGGCTTGGACTGCTCTTCATACTCACCTGTAAAAAGACTTGTATGAACTCTATGATTTCTTGACAATTACACCGTGGCTAGAGGTGTGAAAAAGGGAGGTTCATCTGATCAAAAACTAGGCAAACTGCGTCACCAAGCACGGTACGCACGTGCATTTAGTGACGGAAATAGTCATTTGCAACCAAAATTGATCACTTGCTGATATCAATCGAAATTAGCGAAAACAAATTGTGGCAAAGTGTTTAGCTTCGGTCCAAATGAAGTCAAGGTCGTTCTGTATGACGCAATTACTTCATTCAACTGGAAAAACAGCAGCAATCCTTTTTCATTTTAATTTTATTAGTCAGGAAGCAGGCCAGTTCCAGCAGGGCACGCGCGCGCGAGCTTGTCAAATGAACAGCGACCGTGAACACAGTCGATGTTTGCTTCGCGAACCAGCAGGTTATTTCCTCTTGACCCGATCAACACCCGTCGTAAAAGGGCACTGTACAAAGTGACCACTTATCTTTCTATTTCTTTGGTATGCAGAATAAAACTATCCAGGACTCAAATGGGTGCTTAGTAAACGTGTGAATTGTGCATTTCTATGAGCCTAAAATGCCGAACTCAAAAGTAACCAATGTTATTTTGTAAATGAATTGAGTTCGAAAAGTACGTTCAGAGGACGACAGGAGGTAAGTAATGGATTTTGTGGGGGGTTTTTGTGACGGACGTCTTACTAGAGACTTCCTTTATGGAAATAAAAAACTTGGAAGAAGTTTCTAACCGTAATGGTAACAAGGCACACCGAGAATCTGTAAGATTTATGTAGGTATATCGTGCGACATAAAGGAACAAGGCAAGGAATTTTCTTTTTTGTGTATCTCTGTACTCTTATTCCATGTATGAAGACTGTTTGACATCTTTTTTTAAGGTACGTGAACTGAACGGTGCACTTTTTCAAACATTAGAAATTGACCAAGCATTTCTGAACAAGTGAGGGCGCTTTTGCTTTGATGTAAATCCAGGAAGACGTGGTTCAGGTTGCATGGTTTCATGTTCAAATTGTGAATTCCAAATTTGCTCTCTGGGAACATTTCTGTGAAATCGATTTTTGCTGGAAATTGCCATATACTTACACAGCAATGAATTGCCAAAGAAAATAAAATCTGCCTTAGCAGTGGTTAAAAAAATCTAGAAATTTTCTGAGCACAAATCAGTGCAACATCGAGATTCAATGCCTTGGATGACATCATAGTTCTGCTCGTGAATATGCAAATAAGCACTAGCCTGAAAACTAAAAAAGCATCAAAATATGGTTAAAATTGCAAAACGAAAATGTAAAATCAGGTTAATTTAAACCCAAAGATGCAATTTCAAGGGTTTTATGAAAAATTTATGAAAAAATTCTATTTCCTGGTTCCTTTAAATCTGAAGGGAGAAAACAGCAAATATGAAATTTATCTGAATTTTAACAGACAAATAATTGTCAACTTTTACAAAAAAGATGGCAGGAAATGTTAACGCAGAAAGAAATATCTTTGCCAGCAAACGTGTGTCTTCTGTGGCACAATTGGCAAAGGTACTTGACAATGTTGGCCTAGTTTTTGATTGGAGCGTTATCGCTCATGACATCAGTCCAAGCCGTGGCCATTTTGATGTTCATGTCTCTTCACACGCGGGTCGTGTTGCAAATATTAGGAAAAGCGTGCAAAAAAGTGTAGCTGGTGTCTTTGAACGTGTTGACTCAGCGATGAAATATGAAATTTTTTTGTAATATATAGGAAGGGATCTTTATTCTGTAACTATCTGTACATATTAATTCAGCGAGGCCTAATTTCTTTATTTTTGTCTTCATTAATATTCGTGTTTAGCAGCCTCAATTGAATGAAGATTTTAGCGGAGCTCCTAAATAATTTTAAATATTGCTCAAGAAATCAAATTTTTAAGTATCTATGTCAAAACGGATTAAATTAACTTAAAAAAAGTTAACTTTATTGAATGAATTTTTATATTTCAAGTTGCAATTCTAGTTTAATTTCATCTTACTTGTAACACACATCAAGTGTAGTTTGCAACTTTAGATTCATTTATTAATCAGTGCAATATGACGTTTAACTTGTGTCGTTTACAGTGTTGAACTTTCATTAAAAATACGTTACTCAGTGTATAATAATTTACTTGCTTAACAATGTTTTCAGTGCAATTTTTGTAGCAACCTAATCATGACGTCATTACTCGCAGACACAAATCAAGGCAGGTGATCACTTTAATGATGAGAGCTGTTAGTTACGGCTTCAGCGTTATGCCAGCTATTTTCACGGTTATGCGACACGGCTTGTTGAGAGTGCGTTTGTGGAAGCCAGTGGCTTTGGCTACTTCGTACGGGCGTGTTTAACCAGCCGCAGCCAAGTGCGGCAAAACTAAGCCTTCATTACTGGGGGCCTGCTTGGATAGGCCTATACCTGTAGACTGCTCAAGGACAACTTAATCTGGTTTAGAGCTTGGGGATTAAGCCCACGCGGGGGTTGACAGGTTTAGTAAAAAATCATATCTCGAAAGCTCTGAAGCTGATATGATCGACGTCTGATGCGTCATTCCTTGAGACCATTTTAGCATGCCTTGTGCATTTCAACACTATGTCTAACGATCTACGTGACCTGATAACTCATGCAATCCGTTAGCAGCCTGGTTTAAGCTTACGTTTCCACATCGATGACACTACAGGTCGAGCATAAAGGTAGGCCTGCATACCCACCGGGTGAGAAACAAGTTAAAATAGCGGCTACATACTGGTCAGTGCCAGCTTAAGATACACTCTTAAATCTAAAAAAAACTGACCCCCCTCCTCAAAATGGCTTGCCGGAGACGGATCAACGCGCTTGATTGGGTAGAGACTTCATCCATCATTACAATACCCGATGTCACTATTAATCAACCACTCTGCCGGAAGATTGTAATCAAAGGTCTGCCGCTATTCAGGGGATGATGGCCTGCTAGTAGACTCAGAAAGAACTTGGGAGAACAGGTCCTTTATACGGTTGGCAAACACTTCAAGTTAAGGAATGAGATGAGAAATGATGGAGAAGAAGCGGATGGAATTCACAAGCTGGTAGGCCTACTTAATACAAGTATGGGGGTATTCAAATTCATGATCAATTACTCAACGGAATTAACACTGTCTTTCCATCTCCTTCACACACTAAGTACGCATGTGGTTATAAAATTTGGTCATTAAGCACTACGATACGGCAGCTAGTAAAATGAATGAGTCACTAAAAAAGATATTCTTCCAATTAACGAATAACCGCTTATTTCGTTACTGTCCTAATCTAATATGTGCATGTAGACCTACATTCTTGGTAATATAAACCTTTTTTTCTGCTCCATGCCCATGCTAAGAAACGAACTCTGGTCACGAGAGCTAAGTTTATATATGCATGTTCAGATTATGTCGAATCAGTAGGGGCCTAACGTATAACTGACTTGCGTGATGGACCTAACTGTTACATGAAGTATGAACGTTCCATCACTTGACCTAAAAGATGCCAATGGCGGTAAAAACGATACAAATTAATACCAACTTGGTTCATAAAGCCACCATCTCGAGGCCAGTTGTTTGACCGGGATATACACTTTCTTTGTAGAAGGGGTCAAGTCTTAAGATTGTGTCCTCGGGCTGGACTGGGTGTTTCTCCACTTCGACGTGAGGCGTTCTACGGAAATTCGTTTAGACTCAACAGTGCCCGGATCCTCCGAAACCATTTTGGTAGAAATCAATCAATTTACCTGGTAATTAGCAAGTGGAGACCTCGCAAACCATTATATCGCTTATTGCCCAGCCAGGCTACCCTATCGGCAATTTGGTGAAAACAAAGGAAACGAGGAAAAGGCGTATTTTGAGGCAAGTTCCGATCGGATATTGCAGATTTCGCTGACCTGACATCAATTAGGAATACCAAGTCAATACAAAAGATCAGAGAAAGTGCAAGCGTTGTGTTGGGAACTGCTCCAGGACGTAAAACTTCGTATGGGCTGAATATACTGCCCGGCCAACCAGGTTTGCAATGTATCAATATCATAAAACACAACCAGAATATAATGATGTGTTCTCAAACAAGGCAGTTTACTGCAATTAATTCTTCCAGATAAACACTGCATTGGCTAACTTTCTTTCCATGGTATAATTTCATTTCCTTAGCCGTTTCAATGTTGCTGATTTAAAAAGATAAAGCACCCTGTTATATTAATAATAAAAGTCGTTCAAGTATTCAATTTTTGAGGAACCTCAAAACTGCCATAAAGGATAGAAATGTACCTAACCTAAATACGGACTATGCAATACCTACGGCCATCACTGAAGATTAATTCCCGGAGAAAAGATACACAGCCTGTTAGGGGAATTTAGCACTTTCCCCCGCTATGTGAAATAGGTAAATTACGAGCACGACGCAGGTACATCGCGCCAACCCTGCCTTTTTTCCCACATAGTTAAAGGAACTATACGGATCGCCGTACGACCACAATCTTTACATCAGTTCAGTCAGTAAGGCTGCATACAGGTGTCTATGATCCAATCAACTCCTTACCAGCTTAGCCTACATAATGCAACGCCACATTTCAACGTCAAACCACGGCAGGAGTCGAGACCACCGCATGTTTCCGCTATCAAATGACATTCGTCTGTGCTAAGTGGAAACGTCTGTAGATTTCCAGTCGGAGCAAATGGTAAAAGAAAACGGTCGTTAAAAAGGAGGAAACACTGGGCAAATTTGTACAACTTAGTTCGTCTTTTTTTTTTAATTTGACACATGGTAAGCGCAAAGTGTGGTATTTGTTAATAATGGAGACTGGCTATTATAGATGCTCCTAATTCAGAAAGAAAAAACTTATTCACCTGTCTTAGGTAGATTTACGTTTATTGTCTAACTGGATGAGCGACCTATGACGTGTCTAAGATACCAAAAACTTAAAGCTGACAGGTTGGAAATTTTCTTCCCGGGTGCAACATCGAATTGGGACAGCATATCAACGCTCACATTCGTGACAATATTCACCTACATATATGTATTTGAAGACTGATGCTGGGTAGTTGCATCTACGAATCCTTAAAGTTTGCCGGTGAATTAAAATAATCATAAAAACCGAAAATATATACTTTTTGTCCCTACACAAGATACATTCATACAATTGTTGTCCCACAAGACAATTATGGGTTTGATAGGTTTACGTTAGATAGTGAGCAAACACACCACATAATGAACCCGACATTATGCCAGAGACGGTTGAGATTAACTGCGGCAGCCTTGGATTGAATGCATCAAATACACTACCCAACTCAAACCAATATAACTGACCGGTGCACCCGGTTTTCCTGAAAGGGAGAAGATCCAAGTTTTGGGTAGAAGAGCAAAATAAAGTCTGTTTCGAAAAACAAGTGTCCATTTTTTACTTAAAGAAAGATCATTCAATAAGAATGCAGAGATTCATAGATTGACAGTTACCGGTGAAATCGAAACATACGTCGGTCGGCAAACACGAATCAAACACAACCAGTCTCACGGTGAACTGAACCAGGGTGCTTGCCAGCGTGTAATACAACGCTTCCTACTTTCACGGCACATCGGACTACATTATTTCCAATCGTGCATGGTCCACCAACTCCAATCGTTATGGCTAAGGTAACCATTAAACACGGCCATTGCACTGAGTGGTTGAAATCACGTTTGAAATAATTATCTTTCGCCCCTGCACCACAAACGGCACTCACAGCGTAGTGAGGCTAGCTCGTGGGACAAGAAATGCCAGCAGAATAATTATAGAGAAATCATGCTGAAAAGGTGAATGGCATGGTTTCTTCTCACTTGCGCTGGTCTCAAAGCATGTCCGTCTAATCTCAAATTAAACAGATTTCCCTTTTCTTAGTATTGGGCTTCGACCATGGAGCTCCATGCTTCTACAAATAATCAGTAGTTAAGTATACAGGTAATATTAATCGAGGATTAAATACATGTACATATATGCCAGTTTACCAATGGCCGGATTGTCGTGCACTCGCATCTTTAAGACCACTCCATGGATACTGACATCCAGTCCTAGATCTTTCATTCACGCTTCAACGGGCTTGCAATGTTTTCAACCAATGGCGAATTTAGTCAATTTGAGTGTTTTTATTTCGCTTTTCTTTTGTTCTACAGAATATCAGAGCATTTAAAAGATGCTTCATAATGAAAGCGCTGATATCCTATCATTTATCGCTTTTCTTCGGCCACATATCTGATAATTTCCTGAACACCCCATTTTTGTAACGGTTTTTGCGACCAATTTAGATCTGGCAGAAACTGCTTTTTTATGAGTAACCAAGAATAACGTATTTAAGAAAAGAAAAACTTACGAACTCAATTTAACGTTAATTTATGTGTGATGGCAGAGTAAGTAGTCACAATCAGATCGAATCAGACCCGAACGCTAACAGCAAATTTGAGGCGGCAAATCGATTATACAATAACTACCCAGACGGTAAAAATAGATCATGAAAGCAAACCTGGCTGCTGAAAGTAGATTAAGGGAATAAATTAAGGGACAAATATACTCCTGAATGACTTTTATAGCCTCAGTTTTTGATTTCACGTTTGTGATTTAAATTTAGCAGACAACAAACAAGACCACATGGCAGCGTGCCTGAGGAAGCTTTTTGGTCAGCGTAGATCGGTCCAACAATTATAGAAACCCGCGTGACCCCTTTTAGCACGACAGTTACACACAGTTTCGGGAATCGTTTTAGCGATAAAAGCTTAATTCTTAACATGGTTCGTGCGGCCAAAAACACTTATTTTCCGGAAGAAAACAATTCTCGTATCTCAAAGCAAAATGAGTAAACATTTGTCCTCTGGCGTGGTGTCCCTTTCCTCGTCAATTTATTAGCAAAACGGGTCTTTTGCTTCAGCCCTTTGGGACAAACATGTTGTTTGCTGTCCCAGTAATTAAGATTCGAACAGTGACGAATAGAGTTATTATCCTTTCGGTCAAAAGAAATACAAATTGGATTCAATTCACAGACATACTAGTCCGTAAAGATGAATGACAATAGATTTCCTGAAAAAGTGAAAACACACCAACTCTTAAAGACGACACGGTGGTTATTTGGGATTAAAAATAGTTTGTTCATAGAATTTGACCATGTAAACCTTTCCAAAGCAGATACAAGTAACATATTATCCCTCCATTCAACAATTCAACAAAGTCTCTACCAATACACAAAAAATTTCACAAAGGATATCATAAATTTTATTTTTAATTTACTGAACACATTTCATTCATATTCCTACAAAAATCCACAAATTTCATTGGGCAGTTGTCTAATGAAAAATGACAGCAGAAAGCAACACATAACTTTCACTAGAGACAAACTAAGAGTAAAATATTACTTTTTGACCATTTTCAAAGAAGAGATTTTAAATGACTGTGTATGTGGAACAAAACTACCAGAAAAATCACACCAATGGTGTTTTTTGTTGTATACTTGGCTTGAATTATAGGATTTTAAATGCTAGCTTAAATATGTTACGTAATCAATAGAGTATAGAGGTAGTAAGGACAATATGATTACAAAGACTACAAAAACCACTGCACTCTGTCTTCATTGGAGAGGATGCTCTGAATCTCAACTGTGTGAACATGTAAAGGACTCTTAGGTTGATTCTGGAAGCAGCTATAGTGGCTGTGGAAGCCAATTTACCGACTGCTGCCATTACTCATAGACTATTGCTAGCCACAGCCCAGTCATTCAGACACGGCTTTTTACTAGTTCAGGATTGTTGTTATTCCTTTGCCTGCAGTGGTCAGGGATTAACAGGGATTAGTATATTCAGCCTGAGGTTAGGTCCAATGTTAAACATGTACATGTAGCTGGTTGGCTGTGGCTGCAGATAATGTGTGCACTTTGCCAGTTGCAATCTTCCAGCTAACTGTAAGTTCAGTTCTTACAGATGCTTCAGTTACTGCTGCAAGTAATACGGACACAGCCTAACGAGTATGGAATGAGGTAAGATGGTTCCTGAACCTTCCGTTATAATCTAAGCATTGAAATGCTGGGTAGGAACCAGTCTAACCTACTCAGCCACAGAATGGAACTATTCTCAATGTCCTCACAGAGCCAGTGAGGTGTTCAGTTGTACCCATCACCCTACTTGAGGGTACCTATTAAAGGGCACCAGTTACTCTATTTTGAGGGCACCAGTTACCCTATTTCAGGGCACCAGTCACCCTGCTTAAGGGCACCAGTCACCCTATTGAAGGTACCAGTGACCTGCAATTTCCTCAAGCTCTGGTTGGATGTATTTTGCTTACCAGATGACTCTTGATTCAACACCTTTTTTACAAATCTTGGATAAGGAATGTAAACAGATAATGAATACAGCATGGCCTATTGTGCTTTGCAACATATGTATTTTATCTGCAAAGTTTGGTAAAGAAGCAATCAGTGGTCACTGGTGTCTTTAGACAGGATAATGGTACAAGGAATAATGCCAGTCATAAAACTACCCCCCCATTCCATCAGGCAATAATGCCTCCCTTTAATGTCCATCATGTGTTACTAGCTTCAGTATTCTTTACAAAACAAGGATAAGGCTCCATCAGATTCTTTGAAAATGCCGCCACCTTCTCTTGGCCTCGTACTTCGTACTCCAATAACGCCAGTTTTGTGATGTGAAAATCTTCGTAGAGATCTTCAATCTATAATTTCACACAAAAAGTAACAAAATTTTAGCAAAGATTTCGCGGAACCTGTATGTATCAATAGATGGCTCTTTATTAAAATTAACAGAACATATTTTTCGTTACAAAGAGTACTTTTCAAATAGCACTCTTCAAGTCACCAAACAGTACTTAACAGGTCAGTGAACAATACTTTGAAATCAACAAACCATACCTTGGAAGTCAATGTATTGAAAGCTGGAAACGTACCTGATCTAGATATTTATTCTGCATCTTGATCCTTGCTGCACACATCTTACAGACTGAGGACTCTATCTTTCCTGCCTCCTCAGGTACTAAGAGTTGATTCACAATGATGTTGTGAGTATCAATGTTGTTCTTAGCCAACTCTTGCACCAGCCTCTCTGTCTCGTACAGTGAGAGGAACTCAGCGATACAGACACATACAAATGTTGTCTTATCCTGCAAGAGGCAAGTTGGACAGTTGGAATCAATTAACCTGGCTGGCATCCTTCATTCCAAATCTTTCTCAAATGAAGCACCAAACAATTGGCAGATAAAATATTTTTAAGGAAATTAAGAATGGAAGAGAAAGTTTCCTAGAGGCTGATTTGAATGCCATTTGCCTGTTGATATGAATCAAGTCTCACCAATGGCTACCTTTCATATTAATTTGATATCATTAATAATATTAATTAATTCAAGGTAGTTTCAAGTTTATAGCATCATACACACTTATCACATTTTGGTCCCTCAGTCTAACTTAGAACTTGAAAAACCCTACCGAATTCTTAAATTTTCTAAACGGTGTAATTGAAAACTGCAACGTTCAGGGTTGTACAGCCACCCACACAATAAACATAAATGAAAATCAATGAGAAGTGGTGATCAAGGACAAATGACACACCAACAAAGAAACAAAATATGATACAAAATAACCGGAATAGCTGGGAAAAACGAATGTGCTTGACATCAGGAGAATGAAGGAATAGCAGCTATATCTGCAGGTGGCAGCCATATCTGCAGGTGGCAGCCATATGTGCAGGTGGCAGCCATATCTGCAGGTGACAGCCATATCTGCAGGTGGCTGCTATATCTGCAGGTGGCTGCTATATCTGCAGGTGGCTGCTATATCTGCAGGTGGCTGCTATATCTGCAGGTGGCTGCCATATCTGCAGGTGGCTGCTATATCTGCAGGTGGCTGCCATATCTGCAGGTGGCTGCTATATCTGCAGGTGGCTGCCATATCTGCAGGTGGCAGCCATATCTGCAGGTGGCTGATGTATAAGACTCACCTAGACTGTAAATTGAAACTCATTGAAATGTGCATAAGGGGCAAAAATGAACACAGTATATGGATACAAATCACAATTGAACACTTGAAGGGTTATTAAACTGCAAAAACCCCTCTTGATATTGATGTTTGAAAGCTACAACACACATCAGTTCTGAAAAGAGAGCTTGAAACTTGGACAATTTTTTATTACCACTACAATGACATAGAGATGTAGATACTACTGGACAGCCACAGTCTAATACTTGGCAATTATGACAGCATTTTAACCATTCCCAGCTGCCCCCCATGATGAAATGCCCCACCCCACTTCTGGAAACTGACGCCATTAGGGCGGCATCACTTAAATATAATGTGCTAATATTGACAGTGATGACTAAAATGGCACACACGAAAGAGGACACAAATATTGAGAAGTCACTCATGCGAACAGCTGTGATCACTGAATCCAGGCAAAGCTTTGTGCCTGCACAGGCTTTCAAGAAATACTCCTATGATGTCAGTGACATAAATTTTCCATTAACTGTGCTTGCCTTTCGCAAGGATGGGCAAATGGAAAAAAATCTTGGTCCATCCAAAATGGAGACAGTGTCAACAATTTCCAGGGTGTTATGAGAAGCTTGTGTCGTTTGAAGTCCCACAGTATCCCAGATTTTGAAATTAAAAGTGGAGAGAGTCAGTGCAGCTTGCTAGATTTCTCACAAGATCTTTTTATCTTACCAACAAAGAAAATTTGGCACACTCACTTCAGGAAAAATCCCCATCCACCCTAACTTAAAAGCTGGATACATTATTGCAAGTCACAAATATTGCAGGTGTAAAGAATTTCTTCACATTTCTCTTTTGGTTCAAACAGAGTATCAGTTACTTTAAGCCAACATTGATATTTTGGAAAGAAAAGCCATCTGTTTGTGAAATGCCCAAACACCAGGTAACTGGTTACTCCAAGCTGAATGCAAATTGTGATGAAATCAACAATTAATTAAGACCAAGCAAAGGGCAACATTTCTGGAGTCCTCTCAGAAAAACATAGGACCTCATTTTCAACAAACTTGAGATAATGCCACAGAAAATGAGTAGATTGCAACCTATTGCACATCAGTGAAAACATGTCAAGAAAGCATGTGAGGCCACAAAACATGCAGTGGTACTGGTTTGTGCATATGATCAGATTCCACAAATTACTTAGTTCAGCTTGAAGTAATGGGAATCTGTCAAGTTTTTTTTCATCTTTAGAGAAACTTTTTAAAAGGCTTTCAAATCAATTGCAAAAAACAACAGGAGATTAGTTCTAGGATATTGTCAAAGTTGCAGAAACTTGAAAAGTTGGTGATCAAACATTCACGGCTCCAGATGAATGTTTAACTTTTACCAACAATGTGTGTGTAAAGTGAGTATGTTAATGAAGTTAATAACTGGGTTTATAAAGAAAAAGCTATTAAGGAAGGAAAATTGATTAAATGAAACCAATAATTACATGTACTTGTTGACTGGTAAACAAGTAATTATTGCCAATCTCCTTTTCATTATAAATTTACAACCCATACAGTAAGCAGAAGTCTGCAAGCTAAACTGGTCCAGGTTTTCCATATTAATGACAGACAGACCTGGAGTGGTCAACTTTTGCTGTGATGTGTTGGATCATTTCGTGTGGAGTTTTTTAGGTGTAGAATATGAATGTACATGTATGATGTACATGCACCTGTGGCCATTTAAACATACCCCTTTAAAATGAAGAATCTCTGTTGATGAATGGACTAAGGAAAGTGCCAAGGTTGTTGTGGACAGAAATTAAATGGATGGGGACAGTTTCACTTGAACGGTGCTGTATTGGGGTTGTTTTCTGTAACATTAAACGACAAACACTGAGCCATACAAAGAATGCTGTACTCGAATACTTCAAGACAAATTGCAAAAGATGGGTTGGGAAATCCATTACAGACGTATCGGTAGATCAGAAAGGTTACATTTAATTTGTGATCTTGAGTTGGTATCTAAATTCTATTGAAGCAATTTCTGCAGCTGACATGCAATACTATTCAAAAATTGATTTAAATGATACAGAAATATGATTCCTAAACTTAAGTGCTGTTATTTGCAGCACTTAACATCTCCATAAACATATTTGACTACTTGATACTTTGAACAGAACTGTCTTGATGCAAATGACCTGCATGTTCAGTTCTACATAGCCAGTAATTTTAAGATTAACACAAATGTAGGCATCACATCATGATCCAACATTAATTACTCTTCTCACAATGAACGTTCTCATTTCCATTCTAAAACAAAGATCAGCAGCATTAGAAATCTTTGATAAACTAAAGACGGGACAAGTTCCTAAATGGCTGCAAAAGGATTAAGAACTGAAAAGAACCTGAAGGAATCAGGCAGGTAGAGGCAAAAGGATTTCTAAAATCAGACATGAAGAAGGTTAAATACTACTAGCTATAATCACTGCTAGGAATTACTCATATTGTGTTTGAGTACTTCATGGAAACCATCTAGATTGAAGACATGAAGTGATATTGAAGTAAGCTACGTGAATGTTTGCTGAGATAAGTGACAACTTTTTGCAACTAATCTAGTAGAGAACCCCTCTCTCAACATGTAAATATCAGGTGGATAAGTCCAACCAGCCAATGACAGAGAACAGAAATGAATGAAAAATGTTCAGTCCAGGTAGAATATCTCAGAGTTTTAACCAATCTTATCTGAACTTATAAAAAATCAAACAAACAAACAAAAAATTCACATTTAATCAAATCTATCTAGGCCAGAATGAATGCTACACAGGGTTTTGGACAAGCACAGAGCACTTTGGAGTCCCTCAATCTCCAAAGCACCTGTTTCAAATCTTTCATTTCTTACAAGTTCCAAATTTAATGGAAGCACTGGGTTATATCAAGACAGAAGAAAATTGATGTGCCCGAACACTGTTTAATGATCCATATCCAGACATCTTGTACAGGCATTACATGATTTTTGCTTCCCACTCTTTGGCGTAGCTCTCCATTACCTCCTTGAAAGAATAAGAGACCTTCGAAACCATGACAGATTTATATTGTTGGGTGAGGTTTACTGGTTTGTAAAGACAGATTTATAGAAGAACAGGGCAGAGATATATGAGGGTGAAGTACACATCCTTTGTGGAAGTGGGCAGCGGGAGAGCTGAAGAGCATGAAACTCTCCTAATGCAGAATTGAAATGACCCTTGTTATTTGTGTCAAGTACACATCTTCCTGCCAGTGATACCATCCACAGTATTCAACATTTGAGGCTTGGCATCAATGCCTCATTTGTTTGACAAGTTCAGTCAAAACTTGATGTCTATCTCTTTGCTTCTCAAGCCCCTTTAGTTAAGCTAAGCTAGTTATAATTTATAAAGTGCCCTCTATTATTTGATACTCTACAAAATCCATTCTAAGGAAATGATATACTGTACATCAATAGTCAGACATTTAAAAAAATGTTGCACTGTTCAATTTATAATAAGAAGCCATTGCTAAAAAACACCTGCTATGGATTGATATATGTACATGTATGTACAATGTATATAGAAGCAAGGAAAGATTACAGGATGGTACAGGAGGCTCAGTGTCATATGTGCTTTTGGTATTTTTGTAATTTCTACATTTTCACAACAGTTGTTGCATGAATGCCATTTATCTGATGTTTGTATGTGAGATAAAGTGTCACCATTGAACCTGATGAAAGTTAGCAACTCAAGCTGAATAAAGATAAGAGACTCGATAGTAACAAACATTCTTTGTTTCACTGACCAAGACTTAATTTTTTCACCACAAATATCTGTGAGTACATCTAACCATGTGGACCTGCTGGATCTGTGTTACTGTCAGGTAATTTATTTTTACAATGTACTTAATGGAACATGGTCACAGTAACACTCTCATTACCTGTCATCAGACTACATATGTGTCAGCTTGTTTGACAAGCAATGACAGGTGGGTAGAGGTATATTGCATACAGACAGCAATCATCAAAGGTTAACAACCCTGCCTGGAATTCAAGCAGTCTATGTAGAGTGAATCTCACTAAATTACTGGCTGTGGCTAGCAGTGACATACAGTGTAGATGTCTATGGGACTTGGATGCTGAAGCTAGCCTGAGACTTTCATATGCTTAATGTACAGTACATACAATACATGTACTATTACTAGCCACTGCTGTAACAAGAGGCTGCAGTCTCAGTTGATATAATAATGGACAATAGATGGCGCTATTCACATCAGCCACAGAGAGACATATCCTACACCCATGAGCAATTTGTAACTCAAACTGTAGTTTTTCTAAAGAATCTCTCAATAATACATGTTTTGAAAGCTCTGACTAAAGATGTTAAACATGAAGTCTCACACACACTCAACACAGTTTCCTTGTATATCTCTTCATTTCTGAGTAAATGCTTTTTGGTAAAGAACACACTTTTGATATCTTTGATGAAGGCTTCAACCAACAAATGTGATTTCAGGAGCAAACTGTCCTGCTAATTGGCAGTGAGTTTCTTAACCCTAACCCTCCTCAATCCTTCACCTGTTGGAGGACTGAGGAGTGTTAGGGTTAAAATAGAAAGTTGCAATGTGAACAGATGAGGGCAGCAGACAACCAAAGCAGTAATCCTGCCACTACAGTCCCCCCACAGCCACTTGGGGGATGGAAAACAGGAAATAAAAAGTTACCCAATTTGCAGAGGTGATCCTTTCATTTTACTACAAACTTGAAGGATGAGAGTAAACAAAAATATGGTGTAAAATGATGAATTTTGCACAGC